GCCACTCATGCAGAAATGAAATATTTAAATACAAAATTCTCATATTGGGGAAGCTATTTGCTGATATCTCTTTCTGTGATATTTAGAGAGTATGCAAAGTGATTTATGCACAGGAACTTGAAGGAATGCTCCCATAAGTGACTTTCAGAATATTTTGAGAACATTGCTAATACATATTTTAAAAGTGCTTTTTTACTATGAAGGTTTTTCAAATTTTGTTTTTTATCATGTAAAAGCACATTGGGCAAACTAAACTTCTGAAGGAATTCTTTAGTTCATCACATCAAGAACAATAAGATGATATGGGTGTCCATTTTTTATAATAAAACAGACAAAATGTGATGTGTATTAATTATGGTTATTAATTTAACTGTTGTTGAAAGCAAGATTTATTATAAGCTTTTCTTATAGCACAGCCCTTCATTATTTTTAACTAACACTAAACATTTGCATAGTAGAAAATTATTTTGGTTTAATGTGATCAGTTATTACAGAAAGTTAAGCATTTATTTTGTATTTAAAATTAGCTAGAGGTGAAAGTTCAAACTTACAAAAAAGGTGAAATAGAGGATGATGACTTGTGTTTCAAGTGATTTTTCATTTGCAACAGGATTTCTTTCAAAAGATAACTTTACCTCTCATATGTCAGCATTACTTGTAGACAAATCTTATAAAGGAGGTGGAACAAAAAAATTAAACTTCAAGGTGTGAGATGTCACTGCTTAAATTAACATTATACATCAGCTCTAAATATATTATGCAAATAATGAAGAAGTTCTGATTACAAAACTTATTTGCATTCTATGTAATTCGCATAAGTCACGAGAAAATTTGTTCATTTTTATTTAAAATCCTATTTGATGGACACGACAGACAGCTTTATGCTGAAAAATTTCATAGTTCAATAGAGGGGGAAGTGTTATGTTGGGAGTTTTTGTGTTTCTAGCCACAAGTAGATTATAGTTAGGACATTTGTTTGAACTTCAATTGACCAAAAAGATATATGTTTGTACAAGGGAAAAAAACTGATGACAAAAATTATGGTGAAATGGTCATAATGGCCATTTTGACAGATTCATGGTAAATGAATTTTTCACTGACAGTTATCTAGGTTTCTTCTAAGTGTAATATGGGTGAAGCATCACCTAAAAGCAATTTTTCTAATTTGTACATATTAGCTATATTGGCTGATGTAGATATTCAATATCTAAGTTTAGACTTAACTTTTAAAAGTGGTGATAACTAGAACTCAAAAACATAAACAGAATTAACATTATCAATTACAGCTGAAGTAACTATGTAGCTGAGGGTTAAAACAGTTAAATTTTTCTTTATCAGAAGGACAAAGTCACTAATTTACCTTGTTTGTGAATGTCTAATTTCCTTTGTGTTCATTTCAATACTAGCACAGAATTCCTCCTATATTTACAAGACCATCCTAGCTCTTGCAGAAATTTTAATTGGAACGTCTAAAGAAGGGACGTAACAAGCATACATCTGAGAAAGGATACTTAGGAATAAGCATTATTTTGTGTTTTATGTGAGTTTTAGTAGTAATTATTCTTTTAGACATATGAACATATGGTCACCATAGTTTTGCAGTTGAGAAATCAGAATAAAATAAGATTACCAAATTGTTTTCATGCCTAATTAAATTAGAAAAACAATAGGAAGGCAGCCAGACACCAGTGGCTCACGCCTATAATCCTATACTCAGGAGGCAAGAGATCAGGAGGATCAAAAGCCAGCCCATGCAAATAGTTTGTGAACCCCTATCTCAAAAAAAGTCTTCTCACAAAAAAAAAGTTGGTGATCATGTTCAAGGTTTAGGCCTTGAGTTCAACCCCAGTACCTCACGAAAAAAAATTAGAAGGCTTAGAATAGTAGAAATGGTTTGACCATTCGCTTTCTTCAGGACTAAAATGAGTATTTTAAGTAGGGCTAAGTGCATTGCAGCTCAACTGCTCCTTCAAATGGAACTGATTATTACATCACTGTTATGTGTACTCTAAGCATTTGTTGTACATTTTATTATTGTTACTAGCCATCCATTTTTCACTTTCTGAAATATTATATATTTTATGTTTACCACAAGTGTCTGTCTAAGAGAAGAATATTTCCATTATCCATATGCCATGCCCATCGGAACTGACCACAATACTTGCTTTAGCCAATGAAAGAACTCTGAGCAGAAGTGATGTACGCCACATCCACACAAACTTACGGGGGATTGAACTTGAGCCTAAAGCTTGCTAGGCAAACTCTCTACCACTTGAGCCATGTACTGAATCCTTTTTGCTTTTAGTTTTTGTTTTTCAAATAGGGTCTCCTGCTAACTTTGTGTGGGCTGGTCTTGAACTACAATACGCCTACCTCCACTGTCAGAGTGGCTGGGATTACAACTGTGAACTACAACACTTGCCCCCACAGTAAACATTTAAGAACCATTGTATGCTATGGTTCTTGTTCTCATTTCCCTCTACAACAAGAATATCATACTCCAAGTGGAGGTTGCTCCTTCAGCTTGAATCCTTGAATGAAGAGGTTCTGAGAAAACAGTAACGACATTGCACCAACTGGCAGAAGCAAAACTTCATAATTTTGAAATGACTCATTACTGCCACAGATTCTTAAATATCAATGCTATAGGCAGAGCCAGCCTCCAAGGTACATTCCCACTGCAAATGATTTTGGTCCTCCAGTGTCAGCATTTTGTGTATAAGCTTCCACATTTAAAAAAAGATCTTTGTAACCTGTGGGATTTTGAGGAAGGTAAGAATGTGATTTTCCAGACTTGGCCATAGAAAACGTTGCCACTTCCATTTTTCTTAGTCATGAGGGGAAAAGTAAGCTGCAACATAATGTGAGCACTCAAGCGGCCATAAGTGAGAAGCGCCAGAGGCCTCCTTCATAACAGCCAACACATGCTTGCTGCTCGCACGGATGAGCCGT